GATAGATACATACATACATACATACATACATACATACATACATACATACATACATACATACTCTGGCTAATGGTATCACAAGCCACTGAAAGATCCAGTAGCATTAATAAGGTCTAGCTTTCCTTGTCATTCTCTATATACAGGCCAACCAAGGCCAACTCCATGGCTAAACCCAGACTCAGAATGATCAAGATATCCATTCTGTTTAAAAAATCTTTGAAGGTGCAATACCACTACCTCCTCCATCAGCTTAGCTGGATGTGAAATACTGGATGCCATGCAATCGTTATTAAAACTGACCAAAATATGGCTCCTTAAGCGACAGCTTCATTCCTACCTTCTACCTGCAAGAAGGAAACAACAATCTGATCACTGGCACTAGAGTTTTTACAGGCCCTTCAAAGCCAACTTGAGAAGAGATCCAACTGGCTCAAATAGATTCAAGAACATTCCCCTATTCCTCAGGAGATAAACTATAAAACTGCCTCAGATGTGCTACTGGATGGTTTAGCAGACACCTTTGGTTCAAAGTGACATCAAACCCAGCATGAATCTGAACAGTCTTATCTGCAAAGAATCTATGAACAGCAAATCTCCAGGTCAGTTTACAAAAGGCCTTTGAAATGCAGTTCAGTTTTAAAGCAGGCAGTATAGAACATGGGAAGGGTGCTGCTTTCTGAGACACACAAATACCATCCCTGAATGAGCGTGTCCTTGTATCAGAAAGATTTTCATTATCAGCTACCTGTGGAATTTGCTTTTTTCTGGTGTTTGTGCTTCTGATCTGTACAATTTTCACACAGCAGCTTATTGTTTCCCATTAGCAGCTCCACAGAGGTAAACTGATAGAGGCATGACTGAACTGAACATTCCTTAGAACTAGTAACATAACTCTGAGAAAGGGTCTGAAAAGCATTTTGAGGGTTTTGCATCTCTGTTGAAAAGGCGATGTTCTTCGACAGGCTTGAAAAGGAGTTGAGAGGGCCTTCGCTCTCAATGGCTGTGCTTCCAAAGTGAAATTTTGACAAGGCACTAGTAAGGGCCTCTGTACTGCTATTGCTTGATTTTCTGTATTGCAATTTAGCATTTGCAGGTAAGTGTTTGTGTCCATCAGTGCACAAACCAGGTGCGGTACAAGCTTTATTGGCTGTAACTTGTTTAGAAGTGCTTTCACTTTCGGAGGCCTCGCTATCGGCATCAATGCTACTTTCAGAACGGCTGGCTTCTTTCTCACTGCCTTCAGTCTGACTTCCGTTTGCTGGAGACTCCAAAACGGCACTGCTGTCTCTTGCACATGAAGCACTGGATCTGTCTTCTGTTTTAGAGTTTCTGATTTTTCCAGGCAGAATAAAAGGGCTTGTTTCTTCTTCACCAGAAGATTTATTGGCAAGTCTTCTTTCATGGTTTACTTGGTTCTGCCAGTTGCCATGCCGTCACCAAATTGTTAAAGAAGAAAAAAGAAAAAAACACATTGTTCAAATCCCAGCAACAACAATCTTACTTTTTTTATACATGCATAAATATGGAGGTATTCGTATAAACTGGCCTTTCTTTATGGTTAGACTTTGGAGCTCAGCATGGTAGTCTAACCAGAGATGCTGCCAAATGCTTGGGAAGAAGAACGTGCGCATTTGCTCTCTGATCCTGGTAAACTTAAAACCCTGCCCATTTTATACAAACGCACAGCTCTGTTTTATATCCCACATTAACTAAATTTCTGGCTCATTCAGATTGATTTTAGGTATAGTTATTAGCAAACCAGCATGATTCAGTCCCTTCAGCCAATTTTTGTTTTATCATTTGTAAAACCTATTGTTAACTACTCATACTGATTATTTAGTTACTGTTTGTTTTATTTTCGTTAATTTTATATATTTTAATTTCTACTTTCTGTTAAGTGGAACTCTGGTCATTGACCATAATAAAAGACTATCTGACCTACTTTTAAACCCTTTTCTTATTCAAGTTAGTTTTTATTCAGTGATGTTCAGCTCAAGTTTTATTTTGCTGCCTGTTGCTGACCTAGCTATTATAACTTTGTTATTTCTTTTGGAAATATGTTCTTTTTCTTCTTATAGTGTGCTGTGTGCTTTTATTGCAAGGAGTTTGGTTTTTATACTAATTAACATAGCTTATGAGTTCTGGTGTGTGTGTGTGTAAATATATACTAATGATTTGTATTGTTAGAATTCTTCTAATACATATTCTGTTTAGTTTTTGGTATATTTGGTTCTTTCTTTTGCATCGTCATTTACTTTTGTATTCTATTATTGTCCTTTGCTGTTTAGTATAGATTAAAAGCAATGATTTTTTTTAAAAATACAATATCTATGCAATTTAAACCAAGAATCAAAAACTATACATGTTCTTTTGACACTGTGTAGTTTTCCTCAGGGATAAGCACCTTACTAAGGCAGAGGATGAAGTTCACACCACATGGTCCACCTTTCAGATTCTGCTTGATAGGTATGCCCTAATAACCTATATACATACAAACCCTAGCCACCCAAAGTTGAAGAATAACTATCATATGTACTGTATGCAGCTGATCCAGTTTTACCACATGCAGACAGGCATACAAAGAGAGGAATATCTCAGGAGGCCAGAAAATGAAACAAAACAAAAAACACAGTTGGAGGTAGAATTGAGATGAAAGCTAGTGTGATCCCGATCTCCTTGCCAAGTCTGGTTTACAGATTGCCTTCAAATCTTCTAGTATGTTATGACATTACTTCAGGGTACTTAGGACTACATTAAAAATGAAACCAAATGCTTCAAATGCAATATAGGGTGCATTTTAAAATCTTCTGTAGTTTTAAAATCCATCTATGCAAGAAGGTTTAACTTTCCACAAATTAAAAGAAACCATGGCAGCTTTTTCTTCACATAATTCCCAATCCACAATATTTCATGGATGAGTTCTTCTTAAGGAAAGGCCATTTTTACTGGATTTGTTGTGGGCAATTTGAAACTGTAATGAAAATTAACACGTACAGCATATATAAAAAGAGTAATTAAAAAAAGTTCATGGTAGAATTCCACTAATGGTGCTTTTTATTTTTGAACATTATGAAGTTTAACTCTGATTATCAAAAGTTTTAGGTTAGTGAGAATTTTAAAAACTGCCATTCAATTTAGTGTGGTGTTTTCCTGAATGGCTTTATTTTTTATAGATAAGGAAGACTTTCTATCATCCTTGGCTAAGAATATAGGATTTCAACACAGGGTGTTGAAAAGACATTAAAAAAAAATAACAAGCAATACAAATCCTGTGGGTAACAATATTTCTATATTACATAATTTGGCTTTAGGAGCTACTGAAGTAAATAGGAAATACATACAGGTAGTGACTATTTTTGTACATGATGCTAAACCATGGTTTATTTTAGGCATGATTGTCAGGTAACAAAGCTGAGTTTCTCTTGCAGATGAGCAAATTATCATGGTTTCTATAGTCAATTCCTGATGTATTTTCCTTCATTTTTTAGCTGCTTGTTAGCTGCACTATGGATTGATTAGAAGACTGGGCAAAATGCAACCCACTAACCAAGAAACTATAAAAAAAACCCAAATATCTCCATTGGCACATCACACTAAATCCCAGTTAAAATCAACAATTGCCATCTTTTCAATTGTTCAGGTTAAACCAAATACCAACCACATTATGGCTTACTGTGATTTGTAAAAATATAAAATGTTTATGTTTGAAGAGATCAAGAAACCTGAATAAGGAACTAAATAACTAAATAACTAAATAACTTTTATTTCTTTCTAAATAAAAGAAAATCTACATAATTATGAGGCAGAAATTGACACAGGCCATTTACACACATACAGACAACCACTTAATTTAAAATAATTATTCAGAGACTAAAACTAACACATAAATTATTTTAAATTGATAAAGCCTCTTGATCTTGTTAGAACCTTGTCAACTTCATTTGTTTATCTATTAGACAAAAAACTTTTATTTTGATGCTGTCTTTTATAACTTTATTATCTGGTGAACTTGGAAAAATTAAAAACAAAAAAAGTAATACCCTGCGTAGACAAACTGCTTCTGAATTTGTGAAAATTCTCTTCAAAAGATTCTAAATGACATTAGTTAGGAAATCATTTTTCAGCAATGTTCCCTATCAAAGTTGAATGTTTGTCTCAAAATATCTATATTTTAAAGCTGTCATTTTAAGATATCTCCAGCCCCTACTTACATACATACATACATACAATCATATATACATACATACATACATATATATATATATATTAGTCACAATCATTTCTTTTATTAAAATCTTTCAGTGTATCAGTGCAGTATTAAGATTTCTGAAAAAAGTGATTAAAGTACATCCAAACAATTGTGACATAAAGTTGTAAATTAAAAATGTGCTACTCCAGGTTCCTAAAAAAAATAATGAAATTTGTGTGAAGAATATATGAATTCATGTGTAATTGACCACATTCTTACCACATTCTTACCTTGTCCTTTGTTAATGAACATTTTCTAGACAGCTTTGATTGCTGATTAGTCAGAGCAGTAATAGAAGAACAGCTGAATCGATCAATATCTGCTTCTTGTATTTGTTTACCTTTGCTTGTCCTTCCAAAAGAAACAGGTTTTGAGATCTGGAAAATCAACACAGATTATTGTGGTGTAGCACAACATCTAAGACATTATTTGTTTAATTAGGATTGGCTTTCATATATACCATGATTTAAAAATCTTAATGGCTGCGTTCACTCAGTACTCTAGTCTAAAGCAAAACAAAGCCAAACATATGATTTAATGTGATGTATGACACCAGCTACAATCTCTATAAGGTATTCTTCTTTTCCATCCTAAACTGGCTGAGGTTTTTATATCAACTGACACAAAGAAAATTTCTGACAGTTTAAATAAAGGCGTTATTGAATAAGAATTTCCTTACCCTCTCTTCTATTATAGGAAGTGAAAGATCAATGAAAGGTTCCTTTACTGTCGAAATCTTAGAACAGAAAAAAATGAATATGGCAAGTGAATATACAGATCTTCTGGATTCCATCATATATACATGCATACAAAATTATAAATACATTTTTTAATTAGGTACTGGAGTACTTCATAAAAATGGAAGAACTAGGATATTGGAAAATCCTGAAAAAAAGAACCCTGCTGTAAAGGTAGTCCTTGTTTAATGACCACAATTGGGACCAGCAACTCTGGCACTAAGCAATGCAGTCATTAAGTGAGACAACCTCATTTCCACTGTGGTTATTAAACGAATCACCTGTGGTTGTTGAGTAAGACATCATGTGACTGCAATTTGTGATTTTACTGCTGGCTTCTCCATTGACTCTGCTTGTCAGAAGCCAGCTGTGAGGTGAGCAAATGGTGATCACGTGACTGCAGGATGCTGTAACAGTTGTAAACACCTCTTGTTGCGAAGCACCTGAATCTCAATCATGTGACTGTGGGGATGCTGCGATGGTTGTGTGAGGACTAGTCATAAAGTTACTTTTTAGTGTCATAACTTCGAAAGGTTGCTAAACAGGGCAGTCATTAAGCAAGGACTACCTGTATTAAATTACCAAAATTCAGTGGTATAGAAATGGATTATCTTATCTTGAGAACAGACTGGCAAGCATTTGGAAATGGATGGGGGTGAATATGGCCTTGCAAGTTCTCTTGGAGGCTTTCAATACCATTAGCTATGATATCCTTCCAGACTACATAGCAAGATTGAGTTTTGGAAAAATATTCTACCCTGGCTCCATTTTCCTCAGATCAGATTGTATCTAGAATATTCAACAATATGTACTGGGGGTCTACTATTCAGCACTTTTACCTTTATCCCATTCTGTGTGCTTTGCTGTTTAATAGCTTTATAAATGAGTAACTCTTTATATGTGCAAGAACAGTTCTCATATATCTTTACACAGATGAGACACATTAAAATGCAGGGGATGTATAAAATACAGTATCCTATTACAACAGAGACAGAGATTTCTTTAGAATATCCTGTTGAATTCTACAAGCATGAACACATAATTTGAATACTTCACAGATGGTTTCAGGATGTTATCCACTAAAAGGAGAGAAAAATAACAAACTTCTACATGCTTAGTAGTACTCTCAAACCTCTGACAACAATGCATAAGCAATGAAGCAAGATTCATATGGAGTTCCATTAATCTGCTTTAATGCCAGGAATAAAGGGTTAGGATACAGAATCTTGGAAACAGAACAAGCAACCCTCATTTATTAGTGAATTCAGAAATACAGAAACATTAGAAAAGATCACATAATTACGAACTGTTCATTGTCACCAATGAAAGCTTTAGAAACTACAAAAAGGTGATTCCTCACAGGCATCAGCAAATGTATTCAAAACAGTGTTATCCATAAAAAACAAAATACTTATTCAAAATCATAGTTAATCACCTCCAATCACATAGTTATGTATTCAACCAATGTCCCCTGACCAACAGAAGGTTTTTGCAATCTGTCAGAACAAGGGGAGAGATCATTTTCAGTTATTTCCCCATCTTCCTGCTCTGATGGATTGGCAACCCTGTAAAAGAACAGTGGAAGGCAGCAAGGGCAAAATGCAATTATCAAAATTGTCATTTCCTTCCTTGAGGCATAAACTTCAGCTGAGTCATATAATCTTCCTTCAGCAGAGACACCAATTAGATTCAACCAAACTTTGGAACAAGGCCAAGTGTATTGGCTGGTAGAATCAGGCACCAAGTGATTGAGTTGTCTCCCATCTTAGAAGCCAGAATAACAAAAGTCCACACCATGGTAGGAGGCCCATTGCCATCTCCATTGCCTAGAGTTACTTTTCTTCCTCATTACTGTGACTTGTTCACCTACTCTTTTCAAGCAATAGAAATAGGCAGAGAACAAAGAGAAATAGATGTAATTTCTGCAGTGTTTGCCTTCTCATCCTCCCCTCATGCAAAGAGGACAGGACAGAGAAACAAGCGAATGGATAGCAGCAACAATGGTGGGGAGAAGGACCAACCAGGACCATCCTGAAGACCTCACAAGACTCAAACCAGTACCTAGGACTAGCCTACTTGCCTCTATCCCTGTTCAAACTACAGAGTACAACTCAAGCGTTAGCCTGCATACACTTATGGATCTTTCAGGAGAAAACATTATTTCCATTCTTTCTCTTTACATATTACTGTTTTCCATAGCTGGTATTCTTAAATCTATGTTGATTTAAGAAAAAAAACATTTCTTTCTTCTCCAAGTAAAGCAGATACTTGACAAACTGGAGCAGCTGGGAGAATAAATTGAACTTAATGCATTGATTTCCACAATATTTAAGAAGTTTTCAATCCACACTATGATTACAATGTCAGAAATTAGCCTACCATTATCCAAATGATTATTCAACACCCTTCTTTGTATGTTAAAAAAAAAATTAAAGAAAGATATACTTTGAAACAATCAAATTTCTGATATTCCATTATAAAGGCATTAATAAAACAGATAGTTCTACTTTTAACTCAGTACACAATATATTGAAATAATTACATTTCTGAAATCATATCAAATTCCAGAATACTTACATTTTCACATTCCTCACACATGATAGTGCTGGTCAATTCACCCACAAAAATCCTATCTATGAAGTTCATCTTCACACCCTCTCTTCCATATGCTGGAAAAAAAAGAACTTCTTTAAAAATTTTGCAGAATGTATTAATTAATTATTCAAAAGTTAGCAGAATTAATTCTAATATTTATTCAGAAAGTATGTACATTTTACCCAAAATAAGTTACAGTTTGCATCCATCAGCGGGAAAAAAATAAAAACTTACCATACCTGAGCTGCATATATTTGGGTGGCCACCAGATGGCAACAAAAGAATTGAGGTTATTGGATTTTTGCATCCAGATACAGTTTGACTATAAAAATGAGTTATCCATTTATGACTACATTCAGTTTTGATTTTTATTTCTGCTAATTAAAGATATATCCTCTGTATCATGTATTACATTGCATCATATGAAGGTATTTCACAAGATATGCAGTAGACACTTTATTATATTACGTGAAACATCAGTAAACTCCAGTGGATTCTATTTTTCCCCCTTAATATAATCTTAGAAACTCTTCTAGAATGTGGATTTCAGTATCTTTAACTCATTATGTGAACTTTACTGGTTAACAACAAGTTGTGAAATACAAGTATTTTGCTTGAAATAATATAGCTGGTGTTTTATAAGCAGAAAATAATCTCCCCAACTCCTTAGTTAGCATGTATACCAGTGTTTCTCAACCGTGGCAACTTTAAGGTGTTTGGACTTCAACTCCCAGAATTCCCCAGCCAGCATGCTGGCTGTAGAATTCTAGGAGTTGAAGTCCACGCATTTTAAAGTTGTTGAGGTTGAGAAACACTGATGTTTCTCACTATACGCTCTGCAGCTAAAAGAGTCCGACTGGTTGTATCTGAATCTACTTTCAGGTTAACACATTCAAGGCTATAGCCTTCTATTTCTATTCTACATATCTGAACCCTTTCTCTTAACGAGCATTTAGGTGATTGCTGAGTACTAAGAAAATGGAGAGGATCTGAGAAAAAAAAAATTGATTGCAGTAAACGCCCTTATACTCCCATCATGCTGCCAACTTCTACTTTTCAGCTTTTCTACTTTTTCAGCTAAAAGAAAACTAGTGGTTGGGGACCTCACAGTACAATCCTAGTACCTACTCAGAAACCAGTCCCACTGAATTCAATGAAACAAACTCCTAGGTAAGTGTGCACAGGTCTGCAATCTTAGTTGTCTCCTTGTGTTCTCTTCTTCCCTTCTCAATTATTGATCAAGTACTTCAATATGCAGCTTAAATGTATTTTATTTATTTATTTATACAATAAAGATATTCTGCCTCCTTCCCAAGTGAGAATGCTAAAATATCCGTTTTTATGGAGTCTATTAGATTCCCTGGGGGTAGGGACAATCTGATCATATCTCTATCAGAGAACTAGGCTATTATGGGTAAAGCAACCTGATCCATGAAGTGTTCTGCATCTTCACTAGATGGCACCAAAATAATAGATACACACTCCATTATATACAAAAAGTCTCCTTTGATCTGAGTTAAATTCCTGGTGATTCCATGGATAGGGCCATAGAGTTTCTTGTCAGCAATACAGAAGTCATTTACCACCACTGTCTTCTGGGATGTTTACTCAACTTCTCACTCTAGCCTCTAAAATTTCCTTGTGGTTTCCCATCCAAGAAAAAAAAAAAAATCCAAATAGATCCTGTTTAGCTTCCAAGTCCAGAACATGTGTATATATGTACACACAGAGATAGACACACACAGAGACATGACTTTGGAACTCAGTGTTGTCTAAAAGGCAAATTCATTAATAAACAAAAGCATAAACATAACTCATATGTTTATAAAAAACATTTAAAAAATCAAACTATGCAAATAATACAGAAAAGTTCTGCTGAAGGACACCATACCTTTGACTTTTCTTTTGGTTTCTTCATCTGCTGTTTTAGCTGTTGGATTATTAAATGCTTTTAGGATTGCAGCTTGTATGCGCTGTAACACAGACATTTAGCACATATTTTATTTGATTAAAGTTTACAGTTTTAAGTATTTTTTTTAAATCAAACAGCATACTTTAACAGACTAGGAGAATTACTCTTGTTTCAAACACATAAACTCATATTAATGACAGAATTTGAAATATAATCTCAGTATTTCACAATAAAGATTGCTACTCTTGTTCCTATACTCCTTTATTTAAGTTTAGATATTTTTATGCTTTCTTGCTTTTAAAAGCCTAGTCAAAGGAGTTGCAAAATGAAGCACAAAACTGCAAAATATATAACAGAGTTACCTAGAGCAGTTGTAATAAAATACCATCCTAAAACAAATCAATTATCAGCACTAATTCAATTAGAAAACTACAGAATAATGATCCTTTCCCTTCCTATACAAAGAATACATGTGTGTCACAAGAAACTGTACAGTGGACTTTACCAAGTCTTTAAATACATTGTTGCCACTTTTCTAACCTAAAGAATAGTGACTTGCATAATTAAAATTAACTATCTTTACAATGGTCCTTTCCTTGTGGTATTTTATAAAATAGGATTTGCTGGGGTGGTAGCAGTTAAGACTGTGAACCAGAAAGCATCCACTTCAAAACTCATTCAGCCTAAAGATCAAACTAGATATATTAAAATACTTAAATATTCTTAAGAAATTCAGGTTTCTCCAGGTCCATCACTCACCTTAAAGCAGAAGCTGTGGAAGGAACAAGACACTCTGGATTGCAATGCATGGGGAACAAATTTAACACTTCAGGCCCCTGCAGTCTTCATGAAAGATTCCAATCCACCCAACTCAAGCTTCCATTCATGCCAACCCAGTCCCCCCCAAAAATATTAGACTACAACTACCATCAGCCTATGGCCATTGGAAAACATCTGGAAAGACCTAAACTGGGAACAGCTGCCCTATATTATTATAAAATCTACTCTTGTCTGAAAATCCATTACTTCATTATGTTGCAATTTGTGTATTTTGATAAATTGCATCACTTCTAGAACGGTTTAACAGAGAAGGATTACTGCTCACATCAAGCATACACAGAAAAAAACAAGAAAATATGAAAATCATTATCAGCAGAAGAAGAAAAGATCTCCACAGGGAAGAGGACAACCGAATTCAGTTCTAGTGAGAAAAGGAGGAAGAGGATCCTTTCTCTGCAGAATAATATATATCCCTTTAAATTGGCTAGCAGATGGGGTTAATACTATAAAGACAAAAGAACACAATAAATTACAAAAGATCAATTGAAACTGAGTATACTTGCACTGGAGCTCTCTCATTCCAATTTGAACGAAATGAAATTATAATAAAAATGTTATATTGGACTGCCTTACCAAAGCACTTGTTTTTCAGAAACGACGTTAAGAATTTGCTGTTTGTGTAGCACAGTGTGAGTTTTAATGGAACCTTTGGAGCTAAAAATGAATCCTAATATAATGATTGGGCAAGGAAAACGTGGGCAAGAACTAAAATTACAACTGGATATTTTCAATCTTAAAATATATTAATGTAACATTCAGGGCGAACATCATTGAACAATCCATACAAAGAGTTTTAACATTAAAACTGTGTGTTACAAATGTGCTGTGATTACTGCATAGCACTCTGTGCCTGTATTTAAATCATATGATTTAGAATTGCATTCTAAAAATAGGTCTTTGTAAAGTCACTTGTTATTTATGTGAATAAAATCTGTCACTATCACCATCAGAAAAGATAGAAAAAATACAATTCTATTTATATTCTAGAAATAATTGAACGTGCCTGCTTATATATTACTGGCTTAATGGTATAATGATGATGTATAGTGAAATATATTAGAACTACTCTGCCAAGCGATCTGTATCTGGATGCAAGTTTCTACTTCACAAGGACTTGATCTAGCTATTAATTCCCAGTTCCTCAAAGACCCGTGGTATTCATCTTAAATCCAACAACATATTAAAGAGGACCCATTCATGATAGCTAAATAAATAACTCATCAAGTTGATACCATAAATAGGTTTGCAGCCAAAAGGAACTCTCTTTTTGTTGAGACAACTGCATTGAACCATTTATTTAGGTCAAAAAAAGACACAGTCGTTTGAGTGCAGTTAGCAAACCCCATCAGACATTAATCAATTAACAGCACGGTTCAAATTTTTCAAGCCTTGGTGTGAAGCACTCCCAATATGCAATGCTGGAACAAGGGGACAGCATGCAAATTTGCCTGGATTACTGACTTTTTAAAAAATGGTTCACCGATATGTATTAATATAATTTAGGGGAAAGCAATTACAAATATAAGTCCATCGATGGGACATATCACTAAGAGAACTGTCTCACAGCTTCAGCACACAGAATTAAGTAACCACAGATCCTTCTATGGCACTAAAATTGTTCTACACTAAGAAATTTTAATTTTACCAAATACTTATTATTTCTAATAGATATTGTTTATTATTGAAAACAGTTCTTATTAAAAAAAAAAAAGAAGCTTTAAAAAAATTAGATACCTTTTTTATTACTTGTGCAGAAATGCAGATAGCTGAGACAGATGGGACAATATAGGGCAGCAAAGTAAACAAAGGCTGACCCAAACAGAATCCTTACAGGGAACACATTTAAGAGAAACACAAGAGAGCTTAGTATCTCTAATCAGTTCTAAAGGATTCTGGTGGCAGACAGACTGATGGAGGCTTTCTTCAATTAAAAAAAGACACCGTAGTGACACTCTTTAACAATAGCACGATTAACAGCTGTGGCATTCCCATGACAGACAATGTTGCTCAGGTTCGTTCAGGCTAGCACAACTGTCACTGCTCACAAGATTGTCCAGATTCTCAGATCTTACATTCTCAGTTTGCCATGATCATATAGAAACCTGAAAAGTGGAAGGGGAGGGGCACCCAACAGCTTTTACTAGTAATACCCCTTACTGTGAAGCCTGAGGTAATAAAATCCCCATTTGCTACATTGCTCCATTATGGCAGAATATGGGTTTAATCATTGATGTGGGGTCAACACTGCCTACCTTAAAGGGAAAGTAAGAAGAGAATGTGGGATTGTGGACAATGAAGAAAAGGGGTGAGATGGTCATTTTGATTTATTCCTGCTAATATAGTATCAGATAATGCTCTTTTGGAGCATTTTTCCTGCTACAAAATTACACAAAGGACTGAAATCAAGACAGTTACCTCCCACTTTCCAGAGACTCACCTTCATATATGATCTTGCAAATGAAAGTATCAGCCCCAAGCACATATAAATATGTAAACTGGTGCTATTGTAATGAGGAAAGTGTGCAGAATTTGAGGCTATGGAAAGCGGAATGGGGGCATTAACTTTCTGTTCAAATTAAATATATAATTTGTAAAGCTTTCCCGAAAGCTTATAATTAAAATATATGACACAAAACACTGACAAATAAGGACCACCTCCTATTTCCCAATCCAGTTATTCTGATGAATATAGTATGACATAATGACCAAATGGGATATACAGAACTGAACTGATAAAGGCAAGGTAGATCACTTGATTTGGATCATTCAAAACAGGGTTAAGGACTGTCCATGGTCTCAGTGGTACAACTAGGGCTGCATTCTAAAAAGTACCCTACAAGTTGGTGAGCATCCAATATAACTGGCACAAAAGTGGCATCACGTGCTCAGATTTTCAGGCGCCCATCAACATTCCTGGCCACATTTTTGTAACCGATTGTAGAGTTCTGGCACTAGAGTCAAAAGCAGCCCAATGTAATGTGTCATCACACTCATATTGCCAGTATGAAATAAAAGATCCTACGTAATCTGAAAATAACTACCCTAAATTAAGGAGTTCAATTATATTCAATGGGTGGGATTCAGAGTTTTATTCTACCACTGAGTGAAATTCTCCTAGAATGCTCCTGCCGATGGATGGAAGGAGGCACTGGGTCTATTCCTCTCTTTCCAGAATCCAGCACTGTTTGGGTAAGCCCCTTCCCACAAACCTTTGAAAGAGATGTTGAGGGGATATAACGGGCAGGGTGAATAGCAACCTTTCCTCATTCAACCAGTAGAAAAGCTCCCGTGGTTCAATAGTCACCAACTGAATAAGGCATACTTCTATCCATATCCAGTGGAATGCAATTACATTCTCTAAAGGGTAGTACCCAAAACCACACTGTTCAAGGGTTTGTAAGGAAAGAGAATATCACAGATCATACATCGTAATAATCAGACTGCTCAGATCCAGTATATTCTCTCAAATAAAAAGCAACATAAATTCACACCTGGACTGCAGTACTGGAGAAAAGATATTTTTTCTGGTTGAAATTATTACTGCTTCTGTTCTAGAAGATGCTACTTTACAGCCTCGACTTTAAAAGATGGGGAGTGGGGTGGGGGGGAAGGAGGGAGGAGAAGTGGGAAAAATACTGTAGTGAAAATAGGTATTCCAAACTTTTGCCACTGACTTAGAGGAGTCAAAGGTAGAGTTGCTATAGTCCTGCTTCGTTTATGCATTCCCATGGTATTTTAAATAAATACTTTAAAATGTGGTTGACAAAGAAATGCATTGCCCAGGGACATTCATTCAGGAAATCAATCAGGCTGCCTATAATTCTCTTACAAGTATACTTTTGTCAGGAAACTGAGGTTGGCCACAGAATAGTTCAGAAATAACCTAACATAAGTAAATAGCCCATTACAATATAATAAAGACAGCAGTATAAAATAAAATAACTTCTTTGAGTGAACACAGTAGAATATGAGAGCAAATCTTAGGTTTGATTTGCAAAGTCAGTTCACACAGCAATCAAGAAGTACCCAATTAATAAACTCCTGCTTCAAATGGAAGAATTGACCAAAAGCTA